GCGAAGCTTCGCTGGAAATCCCATGGGAGCCCATGGGACGCCCCAGCGTGAGCTTCGCAACCGACGAGCGCACGAGGCTCTTCTGGGAGCGGGCCGAGACCGATCTGGTCGAGCAGCTGGCGGCCGCGTCCGAGCGCGTCTTCGACGCGAAGCTCACGCCCGAGGCCGTGCGCCAGCGGCTGCTGCCCTCTGTGAGGCAATCGCGCGGCGGCGATAGCCAAGCTGCCGGCCCACGCGCGCTTCTGGAACGCTGGCGGCACGTTTGCGGACCGCCCCGCAGAGCTGGCCCACTGCGCCGCGCGCGTTCGGCTGAGAGCGCGCAGCTTGTGGTTGATGAGCGGCATGTGCGGCTTGAGTCTTGAGGTCACGGATCTGCGTGTGGGGCCACCGTCTCGCGAGTGCCCGCTGTAGTTTCTTCCGATGCCGCAGCCGATTTTTTGCTCATTAAAAAATTCAGAATGTCCACCCACGTCCTGGAGCGCCGCGAGCAGCTGAGGCCTCTGCTGAGGGCCGCTGCCGATGCCGAGGCGCTGAAGCGGGGAGCCTCTTTGGAGGAGGTGAGCCGGCTGCATGATGAGCTCACTCGGGGAGCGCCCGTGCTGGAGCGGCTGTTAGCTGACGGGGTCGCCGGCAGGTTCCCGGCGGAGGAGGTCGACATGCAGGACTGGAGGGAGATGCTGAAGCATGCCCAAGAGCTTCGGCTCAAGCTTCGCAAGCGCCTTAACCAGCGCACGGCCCGCTGCTCCGCTCCAGCGGTGGCCGAGGAGCGCCAGGAGGAGAGCTGCGAGACGCTCCGCGAGAAGCGCGAGGCCCTGAGGCAGCGTCGCATTTGCACAAGCGACATCGCCTCGCTGGCGCAGATCGAGAGAGAGCTCTACGAGGTGGAGGAGCAGCTCGTCAGCAAGAAAATCGCTGAGCGGCCAAGAGCGCAACCCTCGCTGCCTTGGAGCGGGTCAAGAAGGCGCGCAAGGAGCTGGACGAGGCCTCCAGAGAGCTCCTCACTGCGCTGAACCTGCAGGGCAGCACCGCCGACTCGCTGTGACGCGGTACAGACAGAACAGAATCCCGGACAGAAAAAAGACGCGCTCGTCCGACCGACCGAATATTTATTATTTTTTCTATAGAAAGCAATTTATTCAGCTCAAACCAATTCGCGCCATGATCTCCGAGCTGTCTGACCGCATCTGGGGCCGCCTGGGGCTCAGCGCTGTCCGGGCCGTGCCTCTGGAGGAGCACCACGAGCGGGACAGCGACAAGTACCACGCCGTCCGCGCCATGCTGAACGACCTTCTCAAGCTGACCGACCACTACCTCACCTGGAGACGCCGAACTCGGCCCGTCAGCATGACCCGGCGGGAGGAGCTGGAGCACAGGGCCGCCACTCACTGCAGGGAGTGCCTCGCGTCCTTCGAGACCGCTGAGAAGAAGCTCCACCACTGCCACGGCTCGGGGCGCTGTGCCACTCCTGCAACATTGCGGCCCAGACGCCCAAGACCATCCCTGTGGTCTTTCACAACGGGGGCGGCTACGACTTCCACTTCCTGCTGCGCTACATCGCCACGATGGGCTCTCCTGTCTGCAGGGCGCCGCGCGAAGAGCTCGGCGAGGACAGCGACGACGACGCCACCGAGAGCGAGGCAGAAGGAAGCGACGGCGAGAAAGGCTGCGCCAGAGGCCGCACCCAAGGCCAAGGCCAAGGCCAAGGCCGCGCCAAAGCCCCTCAGCGGCTGGTGCGCCCTGCAGGCCGCGATCAAGCAGGGCGACTACAGCCACCTCAGCCTCCGAGTCCTCTGCAAGTCGGGCGAGAAGTGCGTTGTTCTTGTTCGTTCTATAATGGGGGGGGCTGCGCCCCCCCCCCAACCCCCCCGCCTATGTTTGGCGAGCTGCGCCCCCCCCCAACCCCCCCGCCAAACAGCCCGGCGTTCTTCGTCGTTCTTGTTCAGTTCTATCACGGGGGGAGGCTGCGCCCCGCCCAACCCCCCCGCTAGGTTTGGCGGAGTTGTTCAGTTCTATCAAGGGGGGGGCGCAGCCCCCCCCCCCAACCCCCCCGCCTATGTTTAACGGAGCCCGACCCGAAAATGGGATTGGGCTTTGGGATTCGAGTCCCGAATCCCGAAATTGGGATTGGGATTGGCGATTTCCCGCTTTGGGATTCAAATCCCGAATGATTGGGATTGGCATCCCGTTTTGGCCTCGAATCCCGAATCCCGAAATGGGGATTGGGATTCGCGAATCCCGTTTTGGGATTCGAACCCGAATCCCCAATCCCGAAATTGGGATTGGGGTTCGCGAATCCCGCTTTGCGATTCGAATCCCGATGCCCGAATCCCGAATCCCGAAACTGGGATTGGGATTCGCGAATCCCGCTTTGGGATTCGAATCCCGAATCCCGAAAATGGAATTGGGATTCGCGAATCCCGCTTTGGGATTCGAGCCCCGAATCCCCAATCCCGAAATTGGGATTGGGATTCGCGAATCCCGCTTTGGGATTCGAATCCCGACTCTCCAATCCCGAAATTGGGATTGGGGTTCGCGAATCCCGCTTTGGCATTCGAATCCCGATTCCCGAATCCCGAATCCCGAAACTGGGATTGGGATGCGCGAATCCCGCTTTGGGATTCGAATCCCGAATCCCGAAATCGGAATTGGGATTCGCGAATCCCGCTTTGGGATTCGAATCCCGAATCCCGAATCCCGAAATTGGGATTGGGGTTCGCGAATCCCGTTTTGGGATTCGAGTCCCGAATCCCCAATCCCGAAATTGGGATTGGGATTCGCGAATCCCGCTTTGGGATTCGAATCCCGACTCTCCAATCCCGAAATTGGGATTGGGGTTCGCGAATCCCGCTTTGGGATTCGAATCCCGAATCCGCGAATCCCTTTGGGAAACGAATGGGATTGGGATTCGCGAATCCCGCTTTGGGATTCGAATCCCGAATCCCGAAATTGGGATTGGGATTCGCGAATCCCGTTTTGGGATTCGAATCCCGAATCCCGAATCCCGAATCCCGAAACTGGGATTGGGGTTCGCGAATCCCGCTTTGGGATTCGAATCCCGAATCCCGAATCCCGAAACTGGGATTTGGATTCGCGAATCCCGTTTTGGGATTCGAATCCCGAATCCCGAAATAGGGATTGGGATTCGCGAATCCCGTTTTGGGATTCGAATCCCGAACCCCGAATCCCGAATCCCGAAACTGGGATTGGGGTTCGCGAATCCCGTTTTGGGATTCGAATCCCGAATCCCGATCCCGAATCCCGAAACTGGGATTGGGATTCGCGAATCCCGTTTTGGGATTCGAATCCCGAATCCCGAAATTGGGATTGGGATTCGCGAATCCCGCTTTGGGATTCGAATCCCGAATCCCGAATCCCGAAATTGGGCTTGGGATTCGCGACTCCCGATTTGGGATTCGAATCCCGAATCCCGAAATTGGGATTGGGATTCGCGACTCCCACTTTGGGATTCGAACCCCGAATCCCGAAATTGGGATTTGGATTCGCGACTCTCGCTTTGGGATTCGAATCCCGAATCCCGAATCCCGAAACTGGGATTGGGAACTCGAATCCCGAATCCCCAAATTGGAATTGGGATTGGCGATTTCCCGCTTTGGGATTCGAATCCCGAATCATTGGGATTGGCGACTCCCGTTTTGGGATTCGAATCCCGAATCCCGAATCTCGAACTTGGGATTGGGATTCGCAAATCTCGCTTTGGCATTCGAATCCCGAATCCCGAAATTGGGATTGGGATTCGCGAATCCCGCTTTGGGATTCGAATCCCGAATCCCCAATCCCGAAATTGGGATTGGGGTTCGCGAATCCCGTTTTGGGATTCGAATCCCGATTCCCGAATCCCGAATCCCGAAACTGGGATTGGGATTCGCGAATCCCGTTTTGGGATTCGAATCCCGAATCCCGAAATTGGAATTGGGATTCGCGAATCCCGTTTTGGGATTCGAATCCCGAATCCCGAATAACGAAATTGGGATTGGGGTTCGTGAATCCCGCTTTGGGATTCGAATCCCGAATCCCGAAATTGGGATTGGGATTCGCGAATCCCGTTTTGGGATTCGAATCCCGAATCCCCAATGCCGAAATTGGGATTGGGGTTCGCGAATCCCGTTTTGGGATTCGAATCCCGAATCCCGAATCCCGAAATAGGGATTGGGATTCGCGAATCCCGTTTTGGGATTCGAATCCCGAACCCCGAATCCCGAATCCCGAAACTGGGATTGGGGTTCGCGAATCCCGTTTTGGGATCGAATCCCGAATCCCGAATCCCGAATCCCGAAACTGGGATTGGGATTCGCGAATCCCGTTTTGGGATTCGAATCCCGAATCCCGAAATTGGGATTGGGATTCGCGAATCCCGTTTTGGGATTCGAATCCCGAATCCCGAATCCCGAATCCCGAAACTGGGATTGGGATTCGCGAATCCCGAATCCCGCCAGGCGGGGCGATCTCCGGATCGCCACTCTTTTTTTTAGACAAACTTTAGCAACGGACGGCCACTTCCGGGACTGTCTCCAAGATGTTGCTGTTGGAGCTCCAAATTTGGCCGAGTCCATTCCAAGCAACGGCTGCATTCCCACGGCTCGTTTTCTGTTGCGCCAGGTGAAAAAAGAGGACGCCCCCGGTAGCGACTTGAAGACACCTACCAAGTGGCTTGCGTTTTATGGGATTGCGCCATCCCCAGAATTGGACCCAACTGGGGATTTGGGGAATGAACCGGTTTCGGGTACTCCCTTCAAGTCTTGGGGTCAAGTCCTCTTTTCAGTTGGTCTTCTTCGTGGTTTCGGCTTCTTTCTTCGGGACTCCAGGAAATCCGCCCCCTTTTTCCTTGGGGGCACCCATCCCAACCATGTTTTTGTTTCTTCCGAATTGAACCCACAAAAACGGTTGAACGCTTTTTGCCGAGGGGTTTAAAGAGCAATCCGAAGATCAACGGGTTCTGATCGCTTAGGCCCCTCCCTTTTTCAGTCACACCCATCCACCCTCTAAACGTCGACACCGGGAGGTCCTGGGCCTTGAGGGCCAAAAACGGCGCCGAGGGCCAGGACGCCACGTGCACCTAGCCGACCGAGGATCTGGAGCCGGAGCCAAGAGGAGGTTTGACTTTCTGGGTCTTTGAGGTTTGTGTTTTTTGTTTGTGGATGCGGTGTTCTGTGTGTTTTATTTTTTTTATGTAAAACCTTCAGAGCACTTCCTATCTTTTGGGCCGCTCGTCGTGTTTGTTAAGGGATACCCACTGCATTTTTTGCTGAGGCGAACTTCAGGTTGTTCTTCTCTCCCGGTGCGAACATTCAAACAAAATACGCGTGTTGCATTCGAGCACTGGCAACATGCCATCGGTTTAACCTCCACTCTCAACTCCCTCAGCACCAGTTCGCTTTCCATTGGCTGAGGGTTGGGTCAGGGTGGCTTGTTTAGGACAAGCTTGGACAGGCTTAGTGGTTCGGTTGTTGGTTTGGCTGCCTTTTAGGTTTAGGGATGGTTTAGTGGTTTAGGGTGGGTTTGGCATTGTAGCTGATTTAGGCAGGGGTTGGTTGAGGGGCTTGCTGTGGTTTGCTGTTTTGGTTGGTTTAGGGGGGTAGGGATTGCTAAGGATTAATTTAGGGTGGGATTCATCACGTGGTGCGAAATGGATTTCGCAAAATCCACAGTATTAGTTAACATTTGGCCATGGGTCAAAAGCCCGTACCCGAGTGAACATCCCAATCCCCACCAAAATAGGTTCCAAAACCGGTGGTGAATTCACCGAAAACCCCCAAAATTGGATCAACCAAAACGGTTTTGACCACCACAGCCTTGTCTTAATAAACGGGGCGTCACATCAATACCCAGGGCTCGATTGATTCTCCGCTCGGCTCCGATGCAAAGCATCCTCCCAGCTGCCCGGCCAGCGCGCCGGCGGCCACCCTTCGCACCGTGGGGTCCTTGTCCCTCAGAGCGGCCTGGAGCGAGTCGCACCAGGCGGGCCGAGGGGCCAACTTTTCGGGAGGAGGAGGAGGTGGTGGTGGTGGTGGCTTTCTTTTTAGTTCGGGACCCGAAATGGTGGACAGCAGATTTAGTTGGGGATGTAGGTCCACCAACCACTTGTTAGGGGGTTTTCCATTAAAACTCAGAGCCATGTGGGAGTTGGAGTGGGTGGAGTTGGGGTTGAGTCGGGGCGTGGAGTTGTTGGTGAGTTGGGGGGTTGTGGTGGAACTGGGGCTGAGTTGGAGTGTGCAGATGGGCGGCTCGTCGAGATCCCCAAAATGGCGCTCCCCTCTTGATGTTCCAAGGATTTAAATCCGCAAAGGGGCACAAAGGCTTCAACAAGGACGAGACATTTTAAAAATGGACCCCTTGGATGATTAAAAAAAGAAAAAAGACAACCTCAAGGACACAACCCATGCTTTGGGAATTTGATGAACGCCCCATGGAAAAAGCCCCACGTCTGCACCCAAAAAAAGCAATACACAAAAAGCACATCATGTTTTCAGGTTCTGCTTCCTTTTACCACAAAAATATAGAATAGCTTCAGAGTTGCAAGTCTTTGATTGCACAGGACTTGCTTCAGACCTTCTTCACCAGGCACCCAAAGGAAAACACCATGTTTAGGGTCACCCGAGGCTAACGCCCGCGCTTCCACCAGGGATTCCAACTGCGCACAAGTAGTGATCAGGGAGACCCAAACACGAGTTTTGATGAGTTTTGGGAGCCAAAGGTCAAACCCAAGCAAACCACATTCATGGAGTGGGCTATGGGGACGGTTGATATCCTTTCTTCACCCCTTGGTATCCTTGGCTTATGCTTGGGTGATCCTGGGATAGCCCATCGTATCCTATCCCCGCCCCACCCCCCACTCCCCACCCGATAGACCCCCTCCCCCCAAAGCCCGTCCATGACACGCCTTCATTGTTTTTCCTGGTTGCTGGGGAGGCCATCCAAAACGTCCAGGGTTCCAGTTTTGGACTACCCCAAGATAGACTAAAAAGTCCAAGTCTTCTCCTTTTGGGGGAATGAGTCAGCCCTGCAGCGGACCGCAGGTTTTGGTCCATGTTTCCACTTACCAGGGCAACCCCATGTTGAATGCATATTTTTGACCCACCGCCAAGTCTACCCTGGGAAATCGTCAAAAACGTGGAACCCTGGGGTCTTCCTTTGGCAGTTTGGTTTGGTGGTTTAGACGTTAGGGGGTACCTTCCCCATTTGGCTCCTTCAGCCCCAAACCAATCGAAGCCGGGTACTTGGTTGACGTTGGAAGGGGAGCAAAAATTCAATATATATTTTAGCAGTTGAGTGCCTGGATTTCAACCACTAAGCCACCATGAGCAAAATGTTCCAAGGTACCCTGGTTTTTGGTACCATTTGTTCCACTTTTAGGTGCCTGGATTTCAACCCCCGTGCCTGGGGAAAAAAAGAATGTCGATCCCAACTTGGCCATGCTTGGCTTTTGGTCGGCCCCCAGTGAGGTGGGATACCAAGGCCTCCAAGGCGCAAGAGGCCGCTGCGTCGCCTGGGGGCTAAAAATGGCTCGCCCGCTTCATTTGGTGGCCGAGCCCGTGGGTTTGGTGGGCGAAAGGGAAAGAAAATAGGGAAAAAAAATAAAACAAGAAGCTCTGGTTGTTTGTTGTTCTTGGGAGGTCAAGGTCCAAGCTTCCAATTGATGCCTCCCAGGAGCCCGACAGTTTCATGGGATTTACCCCCACCGGAAAGGAACGTTCCGAGGGAAATCGCAACTGGCCTCTCAGATTCCAGATTCCGCAAGGGGAGGGTTTCATAAAACCTTGCCAAGGAGAGGCCATCATCTGCACATCTACACATGCTTCTGTTGGGGTAACCCTTTTTGGTGTTGGCTTAAAGGGACACCAAAAGGACACATCCGTCAAACCGCAGGATCCCACAACCAGGGGCCTTTGACACCCTCACCTAGAGGCGCCTCAGACTGACAGCCAGCAATGGATGTGGGTCGAAAATAGGTACCCAAAACGGAACCCTGGTAAAGGCCAACATGGACTAGAACCTGCGGTCCCCTGGTGCTGGAATTTTGACCCATGTCCACATCTCTAAGCCTCTCTTGTTTAAGCAGCCTCCTCCCGGTTTGCCTAAGGAATTGGCAACGTTGAAACAAACTCTACCTGCTCAGAAAAACACCCTCTTTGTGGCGTCGTTATTGAAAGCTCCCAGAAAGTGTGCAAGACCAACCGCAATGGCAGATCACGTGGTTTCCAACTTGAACCTGGAATATCGAGAGAGTCAAAAATTGAAACCAAGTAATGCCCTGCTAGAGCTCGGGAAAATCTACAGGACATGTCCTAGGTCCAGAAACTCCACCAAGCCGCAAAGACCGATCACCGATGTCCGGAGGCTTCTCAACACCTTGAAATGGCATCCACCGCCGATGGAAAAGCCATCAAGTATCATCCCTTAGATCTTGGAAGAAAAAATGTCTCTCCCCCCAGAATTGATGAACACAACCTTGCCGAAGATTCCTTTGCTCAACCGAAGGGGTCGAACGAGTATGTCAAAATCGGGGGGGTGCCCCCACAATGGGCGGCGATCCATTTCACCTTCCAAGAAGACCAACCCGATACAAACCTCAAAAGAACAGTGTCCTTATGATTTAACCTAAAAAGGGAGCTTCTCCAGAAAAGAACTACCTCCCCGCCCTCCAAGACCAACCTCCCTCCCAGAACCGCAAAAACAATAAGCACCCCCCCCACCGAAAAAAAAAGGAGGCCCGGCCTTCTTAGGAAAGCCCCCAACCACCCCCAAACCCCAAAAAACCACCGGGACCCGACTCTCCCCCCCCCCAACAACCACCCCAAACTTCGGGGCCGGGGCCCCCGAACTCCCGAACTCCCGGCCTCGGCGGGCCAGGCGGGGCAGCGCCCGCGCCGCGGCCAGGCGCACCTGCCTCAAGCTCGCGCCGGCCCGTTGGGAAGGACGCGCCGGATGCTTGGGGCTGCCCCTTTCTGGCGGTAGTGTTCAACGAGAACGAGGGAAAACCCTCCTTTTCTGGGGGGGGGTCCCAAGACTCGGTTGCTTTCTGCGAAGCCCTGCTAAAAGTGCTTCTTTGCTTTTAGTGGTTTAAGGGAAAACCCATTAGTTGGCAAAAAGTTAAAGTCCTAACATCCGAGCAAAATGCACCAAAGATTCCCCAACAAAAGGAAGAGGAAAAACACGAACGAGCTCAAAACTGGTTCTTTTTCGAGAAAAACTTGCGATCGCTGCGAGATATGCAGGGAACGGATCCATCGAGCCGGTTTTTTTGGGGCGCCCGGCCAGTCCTCATCCGACAGCAAGGCGCAGACCTGCGCGACCTCCGAACTTCCAAGCGCTGGCCGGGATGCTGGTCATGCCCCGCTCGTGGGGTGTCATCTCTTCGGGGAATTTAGCCCCTTCCTGCCCCCCACCCAAAAAGAAAAAAATGGTTTGAGGAACAGCGAGAATTGGGGCGTGTGAACTCTTGAGGCGAAAGGTACCCTTTGTCACGGGCAAAAAGAGGAAACGCAAAGGAGAGGTTCCTTTCGGGCGGGGGGGAAATATTGGGAGTCTTGCTTCACCAGTTGCAAGGTTCGCAACATGTGTCCCCAGAGTGCGCTGAGGGGAAGAAAACACAGGTTGTGTCTGACTGTGGGCGATGCAAAGGAATCTCGAGTGGAAAATACCGGCTGCCAGTGTCTCCTGCAAATGCGTCTTCAACTCATCGAAGCGAAAAAGCCCAATCACTGCAGGAAGAAGTTGTTGCCGGTGGAAATTCGAAACCAATGAATAGGAGGAGATAAAGCTAAAACATCGAAACACAAGTTCCCAAGCATGAAACCATAATTTAACCAAGAGTGTCGAAAACGAATAAGGTGGATTGAAATGTTGAAGAAACTACTTCACCAAACTCCCCGACAATCACCCCTCACCCCCCCAGCTTCCTACCTTTTGCCATTTCCCCCCCCCCAAAGAAAAACAAAAACGCATCCCCCGCGTTTTAGATCGAGCCCACGCGTTCAACAGATCCCCCGGCCGCGGATGAGTCGGCGGGCGGGGGCGCCAGGTGCGCCAGCGCCGCCAGCGCCGAGCGCCGCACCTCGGAGGACTTGAGCGAGAGGGAACTCGAGCGAACTCGAAGGACAAAGGTTAACGCGATATGGCCATGGGTCAAAATCCAAATCGTACCCCCGGTGAACATCCCAATCCCAACTAAAATAAACTAAAATGGGTGGTGCACCTACCCCAAAATGGTACCATTGGTTTTGACCCACGGCCACTTGTTTATATTTGGTCCCCAAAACAGACACCCTCAAATGGAATTGGTGGAGAGGGGAAAATTTGGCTCACCCAATATGGCTGCGGGTCAAACATGGGTACTTAAAATGGCTTGCCCTGATAAATGGAAACAAAGACTAAAACCTGCGGTTTGGCCTAGCTCTCTAATTTTGAGCCACACCCATATATTCAGCAACCCAAGTTTACTAATAGGGGGGTGTCCCTGGATTTCGTAACAAAGAGTTTACTAATACTGTGGATGGTTGCGAAATCCATTTCGCACCACTTTGAATCCATAGACAACCATTTTTGTTGGTACTAACAGTGGAATCATCATGCCAGAGTTTCTTAGGTGGTGCAGGATTTCGTCCATCCACAGTAGGGTGGAGAAGTATATAACTTTTGGAGGGGCCCCCACCAACATCTTAATCAACCCCGACAAAAACCATCCCGATGTTGCATTCCTTTAAGGGAATCCTCTTCCGGTTCATTCCCAAAGCCTGGCTAATGTTAACCCCAGATTAATCAACCCAGCTTGTTAAATTCGCGGGGCGCTTCTCCCTGGATGAAATGTGGGGTAGCACTCTTGGAGGGGCCAAAAACCACCTCCCTATGAAAAGAAAGACTGGCTGGTTTAGTAATATGGGGTCAACATGATAGCGGATGTACACCTCGCCGCTGTTCAAGTTTACACTTCCTACGTAAATCTATACACCCACTGCGATCCCCACCGAAAGCCTTACTTGGCACAAGTATTCCAAGGGCGATCAGCTGGACATGAAAAGTCGGTGGGGGATTCCGAACTCCCGCCAAGTGAACTTCCAGAGAAACCTGTTTGCATGGGTTGGTTCGAAGGGAAGCCAAAAGAAAAGCCGCAGTTTCCATGTGGGTGTGTCTTTTGTTAGTGTACCCCTTTGTCTGTGGTTGCAAAGGGAATTTGAAAAGGAAACCCACCAGTTCAAAGGGTTCCCGAAAACCAAAGAAGACAAACACACACACCATTCTGGCAGGGCCAAACAGTTTTTGGAGGAACCCCCCCAAAAGAAAGAAAGGTTGGAAAGGCCCCTGCTGTCACATCATCAAATGGCTGTGGCTCAAAAACTGTACCAAAATGGAACCCTGGTAAGTGGAAAACATGGACCAAAACCTGCGGTTTGCCCCTCCTGCTTAATTTTGAGCCACACCCAAATCGCCGGGCCAAACCAGTTTTTGGAGAACCCCACCCAAAACCCCCCCCCAAAAAAAAAAAGTGGGCCAGGCCACTTTTCCTGTCCAAGTCTCTCCAAAATCGATCGCCCGCACGTCTTCCATGCCGCCGGACTCGCGTGTCCTCAGCCCCGGGCCCAGGGTCGCTGCGAGCCCAGCTGCCGCCGCGCCAGCTCCGTGGCCGCCTGGGCGCGGAGGGGCGGAGAAAGTCGTGGGCCCATTTTGGACATCACACGGGTGGTGCGATTTTTTGGGGGGAGCCCCTTTTGTTTTTTGGAGGGGGTTGAAAGGAAAGACAAACGGGATTGGTGTTCTCAAATTAGGGAAACTCCCCGGCGCATTCATGTCAGAAAGTTTAGATAGTATAAATGTGTCCATTTGCAACGATGGGAAACATATGGAATCTATACTATCAATATGTCACTATATCACAAGTATCATGTGTAACAACTTTACCTCATGGTGAGCTCATTTTACCCCTCGCCCACAAATCCACCAGGAACAATATGAGAGATAGATCAAGACACCTTCCAAGGATCTTATCTTCCGGCTTTCAGAGAGTCCTAAGCTCCGGGTCGTGCTTGCTGGCGAATGCTGGAAACAAATCCAGCAGGGTCTCAACAAGATCTTACTACTCTCCTTGGAGAATCCAAGAGAGTTCTGGGGTTTGTCTCTGAAGACAGGTGGTTTGCCTTCGGCTTCCGCTTAAGAGAAACAAACCCAAGGGCCCCGGGCCAGGAAAATAATGGAGGGTTGCGAGTAATGCCTTTATCTTGTCTTTTGTCCATTTTTTTTGGGGGGGGGTCCTTGCAACAATGGGATTTAGAGGTAGCCATGGGATTTCGAGGGGTTTCCCCTCCTAGCCAAGTAGAATCCGCCCTTTTCATAGGGCCCCTCCAAAGTGAACCACTCGACGGGGGCCACCCTATCAATTCCTCAGAGGTCCATTCTGGGGTTCCCATCTCGCACCTTGAAGTTCCCATGTAGCACCTCCATGGTTTGGTGCACAGACTGCAGAAGACTGCGGAAGTGCACCGGGACCTTTCTGCAGAACCCCATGCTGCCGGGAGGAGTATATAGCTGGAACATCAACCCCCCCTCTGCTGGCGTCCCTCGTCCCTCGCGAAACCCTCGCGAAAGGCCTCGTTGCCGGACGGCACCAGGCGCACGAGCGCCTTCAAGGCGGCTTGGCTCACCTCGAAAGTTTCGGAACAGAGGGGAGTTGGTTCCTTTCTGTCCAGGGGTGCCAAGGTGCATACCTTTTACATACCCCTTGGGCAAATGAACCCAAAAGCCCTGCTGATGTTCATACCCCTCTCCCCGGTATATACCCCTTTTGGATTGGGTTGGACAACCACAGAAGCCAGGGTATGAACAAGGGGTATGTACTTCCAGCCTTAGATTCTGGGCGTTTTCTGACTCAAAAAGCTGTCAGACATGTTCTTCTCTGGTTCCCGCTAGGGTTCCTTTCTGGTGCCCGCTAGGGTTCCCTCTAGTTGGTGGTGGGGGTTTTCAGATTAAAAGACTGTCCAGCCCCGACATGTGCTTCTCTGGTTCCCTGTATATAGTTGGTTCGGATTGGATTGCTAAGGGGAGGTTCGGCTTGGTTCTTGTCCGGTGTTTCTTTCTCGAAATACCACGGATGGTTGCGAAACCCAGTTTGCACCGCCTAAGAAATCTTAGGCGTTGGTTCTTGCACGCTGTGGTTTCAACCATGGGTTTCTTGGGTGCTGCGAAATGGATTTCGTCCATCCACAGGAGTCAGTCCCCGAGAACGGCAAGGCCTTGCTTTTGGTTCTCCTTTTCAATACCAACAAGGGGTTCGAGTGTGGGAACTCATCTGAGATGGCCACCCAACATCGAATTGCCCAGAACAAACGAAACAACCGACCAACATACTGTGGATGGACGAAATCCATTTTGCACCACCTAAGAAACCATGGGAAACCATTGTTTGTTGGAAGTTACAGGGAAAGAAATCATTCCAGGTTCCTGAGGTGGTGCAGGATTTCATCCATCCACAGTACCATGAACGAAGAACAGTGAAGCTATGGTTTCATAGAAAAACGGCGGTGGTGCAGAAGTGACATATGCTCCCTCTAATGTTGACCCCGGATTAATGAACCCCTTGTTTGCTCATATGGGGATGTTCCCCTCCAAAAGTGATGAATCCCCACTAAAACCAGGGACACCCGCCTAGTAACAACATTAAGCAGTTCATCCCTGGAAAATCAGTCCCTTGAGAGGCTTGTGAGCCCGCCTTCCCCACTCCCTGGGAGCCCTTACGCGCTCGTCACGGTCTGCAAGCCTGCAATGGCTTGGATGACGCTCCCCCAAACCCAAATACTGTGGATGGACGAAATCCTGCACCACTTTGAAACCATGGAAAACCTATGTTTGTTTGTATTTACAGGGGGAATCATCATGTCAGGGGTTCTTGGGTGGTGCAGGATTTCGTCCATCCACAGTATTGCAAGTAAACCAACCACATCCAGTATCGTGAAAGTGGTTTACGCAAACAATACTTCACAGAGTCCGCATAGGACCTAAAGAAAGTGGGTATGGCTCGTCAAAGGGGCTTGGACCGGCACGAATGGCGCATTTCTGTTTTCCTTTACCCTTTAAAGCCACCACCAAACAGGTACCTTTAAAAAAGGGCATTTGTTTCACAGTTAACCTGGACCCCCCGAATCCATCCCGCAAACAAAAGGAAAAGGCCCCCGTGTCTTTCTCGCTCCACGGCAATGGGGCAAAACATTGAGCTGATGAAGTTGTGGCACAAAGTCCGACTGGGACATGCACATGCCAACGGTTCCGACCGGAGAAATCTCTCTATTTTCCTCCTTCGCGAAGTGAGTGATCTAATAACGTGCTTGTTGGTTTCTTTCCTTTCTTGTTTCTTCGTCGGTAACTGCTGAAAAGCCCAGCAGACATTCCTTCCCAAACAGCGGAAAGCATCTGTCGGCGGGAACAATCCTTCTGGTTTCCCTCTGAGGGTCACCTCACCAGAATCGGAGCCCGCAAACGCAAAGGTCCTTCTTGTTTCGTTGTCAGAACCCACGCCAGACCAGCTTCCCTCTCATTATTGGCGACTGGGATTGGTGGTTTGGTGGTGGGGTGGTAAACCCCATTAACCACCAGAACCAGGGGTTCAAATGGGTCTGTTTCTTTGAGGCGGTCTTGTGTTTTTTTTAGCTGGAAACCAAGATTTGGCAACCACCTGTTGTTTCTCTTTGTTCTTGGTTTTTTTGGCGGGACGGAGGGAGAGGGGGTGCCATGGACACCTAGAGTCTATGTTGCCACCATACCCTTAAAACAAAAAAGAAGGAGGTTGCAAGATAGACCCTAAGTGTCCACCATACAGAGGGGGGGGCAAACCACTGTTGCGCTTGTTCTTGCTTCTTTGGGGGGGCTCTCCGACTTAGGGGGTTGGGTGATTTGAGGGGGGTGCTTCTTGGTGGTTTCCACCCCCAACTCCGCCTCCCTCCAAACCAAGGCTTGGCCCCCGGCGCCGGGCCCAGCGCGCGCGCGGCAAAGTCCACAAGGCCCGCCTCGACTCGACCGCTGCAGGGGGGGGGGGGATGGTCGGGGGAGGAAGGGTTGGCGTTTGGTCGGTTTTGCTTTTTGGGGCGGGGGAGGTCCATTTTTGAGTTGAAGCTCATTCTTTGAGTTGAAGCTTTGGTGTCCTTTTAGGGCAAATAGATGGGTTTCCCTGGTAGATGAGAAAAACCCACCAGGTAAACCAGGAATCGTCCTCTATTTTTCGACCAAAAAACCAAAACAAAAAGGACAGCTGGTGGTTTTGAAGGGAAACCAAAAGCTTGAAAAGGAGAACCGAAGCTATATCCGTAGTGGTTTCCCTTTTGTCCAAGCACCAGCTTCTTGCTTGCCAGAAACCGAACTCGGTCGTCGGGAGATCGGGTCAACTCGGCTCCGGAGGCTGAGACAAGCCCAGCTGCTTTTGGGTCTTGACCTCGGCCTTTGAAACCAGCAACTGTTGAGAACTTTGATACACCCCCTCAGTTCAAGCATGATAAACAAACCCAAACTGCTGATTCGATCAAAACCAAGCAAGCACCCCGACGTCTACACTTCTTGGGTTGAAATACGACTCCTCACTTGCCCAAAGGACCTGGTGACTAAAACTGTCAACCTGTTGGGGTGACTAAAAATCGGATCCCAACCCCGGAAAAATAAAAGGCCCGCTCCGGTCGATTCGCCTGGGGCAAGTAATTAACCCCCCAGGCCCCCCCGGCCCCGGAGGCGGCCAGCAGCGCGCAGGCGCCCAAGCGCACCTCCGCCTGGGCCAGGCGGAGCGAGCCGTGGGACTTCCATGCCCAAGGGCCTTGGGGCTGGCCTTGGGTGAATGCTGAGCGAGTGCACTTGAACGGGTGTTCTTACCATTTGGCTGGCATGGATACAGTGCTGAGCGAGTGCAATTGATGGATTCGGTCAGGAAGGGTGCGCTAAGGATCATCTGCGCCAGACCTTCTTGCAGCCTTGCCCTGATGCGCCTAATAGTTTGCCTATTTGCACCCAGTATTCGGGGATTATTGTCAAAACCTCACCCCTCTCTTTGGATGCTATTGCTGCTTTACACCAAATGTTTATTGATATTTGGCAATGCCGAATTCGCACTTGGTATGGAATTGATGAACCACAGCGCCCAACGCCTGACCCTGATCCTCACGAACCTCCCGAATTGGCTCCAACCAATGCAATAGTCAACGGACACCTTGTGGCAGTGCGACCCCAAGGAGGTTGTTGGTGTCAGCGTTGTGGCAAGTACACCAGCAACGCTAAACATTTGAGACTCAAGATTACAAAGACCGTATGCGCTTTTGGACCAACTGCTTGCGCAAGAAGGGCCAACCTTGAGCGCAAATACAATGTGCATCGACATCAACTTGTATGGAATGAGAAATTTGGAAAAATCCCAGACTCTCCAGAAGAGGGTCTATTGCATTGCACTGTTTGCAACCGCAGATGGAAATGGAAAGACCGTATTAACAATTTGCCTCGGCAACAATGCACTCCTGCAAATGCAGTGGTTGCATCAGCTTCTTCTGATGCCGCGCCAGGACACAATGTACAGCTACTTTTTCGACATGGAATCGGATGACACCTCTTTTGGGGAGTTTCAGGCCTATATGTTCTGGTACTCCTACCAAATTCCTTTCTTTTAGGGATCCGAAGGGTCCTTAGTGCCTTGAGGACTACTCTCAGCATGTGTCAAACTTCCAAAATAAGTATGGCTTTCCTTTCAGGTTCTTCAGTGGTTCTCATTTGTTTCACACATCATCCCCCATGGGGTTCCTTTAAACGAATCCCCTAAACCGGTTCATGACCCCAACACCCGAATACCCGGGCTCGCTGTCACTCCCAACGTATGGCACCAAGTTGTTGAGGCGAAGGGTACCCTTTGCATGGCTTTGAACATTCAAGAACCCGAATATGAATCCAGAACAGGAGAAAGACGACATGAATAAGAATATCTGTTTGGCTGTTTGGGTTCTTCATCTCTCTTGCATGTCAATTCTCTTTGTCAAGGATTCATAGAGAAGTAAAAATATGAAACAACCTTTGCTCCTATTGGTAAGCTTTGCTCGTCTTGTAAAAACCCAAACAAATGATGGTTGAACTCCCGCAAAAACAAAAACCATAAAAACGGAGTGGGGGTTCAGCGCTGGGAACACCCGGAACTCACCCTCTCCATATGGAACTCACCCAAGTCTAAGGAAAAGCTTCTTGGACCAGTCTGGGCGGTTCCATGTCGATGTCAGGCTAGGACGGGTGTACCCGAACATAGGTGACCCTTGGGAAAAATAGATGGCAGGTAATAGGCATAAAACCAACCTGGAAACAGTTCCATTCCAATCTAAACCTATTTCTAACCGAACTAACCGATCAAGAGAGACACACATGTTTGCGAAATCCATCCAACGCACCACCGTTCATTGAAACCCTGGAATGAGTCTATTCCCGAACATACATACCAACAAACGTTCTGCTTTCAACCATGGCTTCATTTCGTGGTGCAAAATGGGACAAGCGCAACCCTCCACATTTTGGTACCAGGCCATGGCTTCGTTTCATGGTGCACATTGACTCGGCTTTCTTCGTCCGTCCGAGGGCCTGCGGGTCGCGCAGCTGCCCGGCGGCGTAGGTCGCCAGGCGGGGGCTTTGTTCCGGCGCGACCTGAGAAACCCGCGCCCGACGCGTGGGGGGGTCGTGTGCTTTCCGTTTTTGGTCCATTTCAAGTTGTTCATGGGGTCCAGTTGGTCGCAAGGTGTTTGGATTTCTCCATGAACCACGGGTTTTCCAAGAGTCGCAAAGGTCAACAAAGTCTGACATCGACGCCCCGCGCCGCAGGGGCCCCAGTGATTCAGGGGCCCCAAAACACCCTGGGCCCCCCGGCGCACGCCAAGAGTCTCATAGTGCCAGCCTCAGCCAGAAACTGCACATTCGCAACCCAGGCTGCGGTGGATGGCAACTCAGCAAACCAACCCCAAACCTGGGCTGCGGGCTGCCCGTTGTCCGTCCCCCGCCAAAAGTGAGTCTAACTTTTAGTGGGTTAAATACGGAAACTACCACTAAACACTAAAAGGATCTAAAAAGCTAAGGAAGGGAGCCAACAAGAAACCCTACTGTTGAATGGTTTCCTTTGCTCCAACTTGCCATATCGAGTTGGCAGCCCGCTGGATTTAGAATCTTGCTTGCAAGACATAGGAGGATTGGGCAGTCCCCTTTGTGAAGGGTTTTGAAATCACATACTGCGGATGGCTGCGAAATCCGCTTCTCGCACCGCTTTGAAACCATAGGAAACCATTGTTGGTGGGTATTTACAAGTGAATCGACTCATTTCAGGGGTTCTTGGGTGGTGCGAGAAGCGGATTTCGTTCATTCTGCACCACCGAAGAAACCACGGGAATCCGTGGTTTGCTGGTTTTTGCAAGGGAATCATCACTCTAGGGTTTCTCAGGTGCTGCGAGAAGCGGATTTCGCATCCATCCACAGAGAAGCGCACCCCGCACTCCCTTCGACCCTCGGCTTCCCAGCGCGGCAACGCGCAGAGCTCTGTGCGCCGGCACGCAGCTCCTCGGGTCGGACGCTCGTCGGACGCCAGGGCTGGGGAAAATCGGAGCGCCATGTCGAATTTGCTTCTCTTGTGACGGGGTGCTTTGGTGTTCGTATAATAATAATAATAGCAATAATAAACATAATCATGTTTGGCCTCCATCAGTTCCCTGAAGTGTACACGCTGCAGCACCTTTTTTTCTGCAGCCCACCTTCGGTGAGTTTTGCGAACTGATCGGATGACAAACTTCAGGATGTAATTGACTAACCCAAAAATGCAGATCCAGTAAAAGGAGGAGATAGACGATTGTAGTGGAAAAGGCTCCTCAAATTGGATAGCAGTCAAAAGGGCCTCACAAGTCGCTCAAAATCCTTTGTCAGCTGATCGTACAACATCCACCCGTGAAGGCTGGCCAAGGCCAAGGCTTGCGCTGCTTTCGCACCACAAACTCTAATGCTCCTTGTGCAGTAGAGGTCAGCGTTCTGGAAGAGCTGTCAGAAGCAAATCAAAAAGCTGAGCAGCCCCAAGTACTTCTTTCCGACTCTCAGGACTAAGAGAAGGAACCACTGAGTTGGCCAACGTCCCCTGATGCTTCAGTCTCATCTTCCACAAAAGCAAGGGAAGAGCCACTCCTGACTGAAACGAATGGACACAACCTCCACCACAAAGGCCGCCAGGTGTTAGCTTGATCTCCTTTGGCAACGTCAAAGCATGCAAGACTGCATCCCACCGCCGTCGAAAGGCGCTAGCCGAACACGCGAAAAGCCGCTTCTCTGGTGGATCCTTACCAAACACCCTAGAAAGAAACTTCACGAACGCAGCATCTTGGATCGTCACGTGCTGTATCCGACCTCCACCACGTCGACCGGATTTCGGGTTGTTCACCTGGAGATACGCTGTGTTGTGGTCATCTGACAGCAAGTCGGCTGGCAGCAGGAGAGATCTCCGGAACTCGTGAAGGGGTTCACCAGGCCTAGAAATTCCATAGAAGCTCAGACCCACCACAGCAGCAAACCTGTACCACTTCCACAGCAAGCACGTACTCATGATGGCCTTGAAGACCACATAGGGAACAGGGACTCGGTGTGTGGGAGGCTCTGCTATCTCCCAGCGAGTGACCAACTGCCAACATGGGGTCATATAAGGCTTGCAGCTGTTGAAGTTCTGCTGAACGTAAACCAACAGACGTCTAAAAATGTAGAGGGACTTCCCTTGGCTGTAGAGAAAACTCCCGTACTCCTGCAGCAACGCAATCAACAGCGAAGGATGAGCCATGGCGGACCTACACGCCCCAGGGCTTAACCGGTGTGACACCCAATCATGAAACCCCGTCCAGACCTTGGTTTGCAAGCAAGCGGTTCTGGGCTCAACAAGAGGGATAGCTTCAAGCAGCCCTGCACGACTACCCCGGGACGGCCGTGGCCCGGGATTCTTGGCTTCGCCTACTCGAAGGCTTCCGGTCTTGGCACAACCTGCATTGGACAGCCTAGATCTCTCTCCGGAGTCAACGGCGTGGCTGAGGCTGCAAGTGACAAACACCCCTGGGATAAGCCTGAGCCACTCTGGTCCAATTCTGTCGGTGGGCCTTGGACCGGCCCCTCAAAATTTGGTGCGGCTTATGGCATTGACAAAGGCGCATAGTCTTGCAACTTAGGGCGAAGCGGGTTCGCCTCCGCCACGGCTTCTTGAATCTGCAGTAGTCTACAATCCAGGACTGAAGCTGAGGAAAATGTTCAGTCAGAGCAACAAACTCAGGGAGCCTAAACATCCAGGAACTAGCTGGATTCTCCATCCACACTTCTATCCCGAGCCCAAGAGCTGCAGCCAGAAAGGAAATAAACCAAGCAGCCATGCGATTCCCATACTCGACTTTTACCTTGGTGTGCTGAGGCAGGTTACCCAAACCATACGGGGCAGAAGCATTTCGAATAGGCGGTGTAATTGCAGTGCTAAAGCTGGTGCACACTGGCCCTCCGCCCACGCCACAAAAACAACCGGAAGCTAGCAAAGCCTCAAGTAGGTTCTGCAGGTTGGGATCCATAAGGTCCTCGTTAGGGGAGTGGCAAATTTCAAAGCAAAGGCTCCAAAACCCTCGAGCTGCCAAAGCCTTAGCAACACCACGTTCACCGGCAAAGAGGTCAAGGAAACCTACAGTGCTTGGAGGCCAGTCGGCATCAGCTGGCATCACAAACTGGTTTCTGGGAAAGGCTCTAAGTGCATCGACACGCTCGGCTGGGAGGCGACTTCCCTTGCAGCTTCTGGCTTGGCTGCACTCCGACCTGCTCCCATTCTTCTCTAGCACGCTCTCACTCGGGGCGCATGGGTTACTTAAGGTGCGGTCTACCTTAGGGGGTGGTTGGTATGGCGCATCAACCGGCTTGCAGGGACAAAGCTCTTCAAGCGGCGGCAATCCGGACACTGAATAATCGTCAAGCCGAAAACTAGCTAGCCAGGAATCAAACTCCTCGAAGTTACCATTGCACACGTCTGTCCACCAAGACGGCCAGCCTGATCTCCTTCCCCCTGGTCGGGTCATCAGCCCGATTGATGAGGGTAGAAAAAAAAAGCATTCAAGGTAGGAATCAAAAGCGAGCATTGTGGGTATACTCCCTCAAGTTCTAGATTTAATGACCGTGAGCTGCTCCGACCCTTGATCAAACATCCTAGGGCCACCTGAGAGTCAAGTCCAACCAGGTGTCTGCTACTTGGCACTGAGTGGGTGAAACTTTTTTCCAACTTCAGGGCTGCACGGAGTTCACCTATACTTATGTGTCGGTTGGAGGTCTTGGCTTTGCTGAACACCAGGTGATAGGTGAGCCCATCAGCGCACAGCTCCCACAGTGGGTTGGACTGATACGCTTGCTCTGGATCGGGGACCTCTTCCGAGATCGGAAGCTGCCCATGAGACTTCAGCCAGGCAGCAGCTGGAGCTAAAAGCTTAACCCAGATGCTCTTCTGCAGAGTGTGCCTCAGCATCTCCTTACAAAAGGCTTGGGGCACCTGGCACGCCACTCCAGCTTCCCCCCAATTACTGGCATCACTGGCCCCAATGCGTTCGGGCACTGCAGCACGAAGGTTTGTCACAGCAACTGGAAGCAGACTGGCACATGTCAAAAGACAGCTTTTCACCTCGCCTGACAAGGCAAAGACTTCTCGAGGTCCATGGGAACTCACAGCAGCGAACAAGGGATCCATGAGGGACAGAAACCGCCTGCGGAAAAGAAAAAGCGAAATGAGGCTACCACATAGGATCTGCAGTAAATCGCCAGTGGCTTGGCCTATCTCGGCAACTTCAATCAGCATGCTAAAGAGAGGGATGGCCCGACGCAGCGACCCACGCAGCAACCCAGATTCACCATCAAGGTCAACCCCCCAAAACGAACTTTGGACCTTATCCCGAAAGGACTTGTCTTCATTGGGAATCAGCTTGACATCCTTATACACTTGAAGCATCTGCTCAGCCATCTTGGCCCCATCAATCGAACCAGGGACAAGGTCTCGACAACTGCAAAGCTGATGACGTCATCTATGATCAGCCCTGCAAAAGCACTGGATCGAGGAAGTGGCTTGCGGAAGGTGAAAAAGGTGTCAGAGTTGATCACCTGGTGTTGCAATCCCATCGACAAGTGGCAGCTCTGAGCGAGTTCCACGGCCTGACAATCTCCCATCGCGAGAGTGTTCAAGCACCCATACAGCATGCCCGACTTCTCAAGTTCTCTAGGGACACACTTGAGGTGTGAAACCTCAGCACTATGAACTGCACCTACCAAGACGTTCCTACGGGCCCGGGCTGGTCAAAAACAGGTGATAAAAATCCCTGAGATCGTTTCCACTTGTTAGGATCTTTTGGTGGGGTTCAAGGACAAGCTTTGTGAGTGCATCGCCCGAACCAAGGCTGCCGATCCACCTCCGCGGCGGGGACTCAAGGGCGTTGGCCCCTCTAAGTCCATTATCAATCTGTCTTTTTCTAAGCTTTTCACGACTGTAAAGAGACCTGAACCGAACTGTGGTGTCACCAAGCTGCTGGGAAACAAGGATAACCTACCACAACTATCAAGCAGTGTGAACAAACGAATTTTATCAGCCCTACTGCAATGCACTCTGAGCTTAGGCGGCTTCCCTGGGGAGTTGCTGGGATCAAGCCTGGTGCTAAGCGGGTCATCAAAAATCCGTTTGCTTACTGGATCTAGATAAGGTCCAGGATTGAAGGACGGGCGTCCAACAAAACTTAGTCGTGAGGGGTCTACAGGCTTGAAAGTGGTCATCCCTGTGTCCAGATGCAGCCTCTTGGCTGCCTCATCTTCAGTGCTCTGAACCTGACGCTCTGCAATCTCATCCGGGGGCGAGCGCACGGGCTC